TCGTCTAGTTGCAAAACCTCACAACTGTCAATTTCGAAACACTGTGGAATGACGTATTGGCTGAACACACAAAGCAAGTCAGCAACGACCAGGGACAAATCTGGATTGCTTGAGGAAAGCCGGAGAATGCAGCCAAGATTCAGGTTCATCTTCAAAGCCACAACGAAGATTTGAGGCAGCAGGCAAGCATTGTAGCGGGATTACCCACACATGCAAACCAGGAACACCAAGAACACATAGACGCCAAAAGAATGCAAACCGGGAACACAAAACAAATGCAGACTCCAAAAGCATGAAAACTCGGAACACAAAAAAAATGCAAAGACAGAATAAATGCAAACACAAAACACAAAGAAAATGCAAACCCGGAACACAAAAAAATGCAAAGACAGAAAAAATGCAAACACAAAACACAAAGCAAATGCATAGGCAAGAAAAACGCAAACCCGCAACACAAAATAAATGCAAACATAATGCAAAACATAATTCTGGACACCCACCCAGTCTGTAGCCCAAAGATTCTTATAACCTTAACCGCTTCAATGCCCAGTATACTATTATACTGTTTGTTCAATAAAGAACCCCCAAAATAGCATAGGTCATTATTAATGCCCCTACATTATGAGACGGCGCCCGCCTTGCAGCACGTCCTCCAAACAGATACTAGTGCCCTGTATCCCTCAACCCTAACCCCGAAACCCAAAGAGATACCAGACCCATCATCTCCCGATGACACCCTACTACACTTAAGGTTTAGGGTTTAGGGTTTAGGGTTTAGGGTTAAAAGTCCCGGGGATCTTAAGCAGTCGACAGTGACCAATCCTCTCCTCTCCTTGCAGCCGGCCTGCGAAATCCGCTCCGTCACTCGACGCTTGAGGCCTCCCTCTACAACCCCCCCTCTTCAACCCCTCGTAAAGCTAAATTTTTGACGGTAAACTTCTTTACGAACCCCTGAGCCCTATGGTCTTGAAACCTGACCGTTATCGAATCCGTGAAGGACCCCGTGAAGGAACCCCGGAAGCCCCTAAAGCAGGAGCCGGTAAGCGCATCCGAACCCGTAGTTGCACCTCGAAGTGGCTCGTACTGATCCTCACACAAGCTCGATGGCTTCTATCGGGGTTGGGGGGTTTGGGGTTTAGGGTTTTGGGGTTTCGGGTTTGGGGTTTAGGGCGGGCTTGGGGTTTAGGGGAGGCTTTAGGGTTCAGATTTAGGGTTTAGGGTTTAGGACTTAGGGTTTTGGGTGGTTTCTATAGGGTTCGAACAGGTTGAGGGTTTAGCTAGTGTTTAGGATATGCAGTATGTAAGGTCTCGCGGGCCTGAATAGGGCTTTGGAAGAAAATGTTACTGTACGTTCCATACATGGACAAAAAGGTGATATTGTTCCTAGCCATTCCGATCCCAATGACCCTGTGAACGGCGTTGTGGGTTTCCGGGGCTTCCAGCTTTTAGGATGCCCACGGCGTCTTGTGCTGTGAGTTGTGGGGCTCCACACGAGCTAGTTTCATCTTGGGCTTCGGAGGCGGGGTGCGGAATCTAAGCTTCAGAGCCCGGCCAGGTTTGAGGCGTTGGTGGTTGCAGTACTTCCAAAAAGCCTCAACCCTAAACCCTAAACCCTCAGCCCTAAACCCCAAGCCGCAAGCCCTAAACCATCAGAGCAAAGTTGCAACTTATGTTTTGTGCATGGCAGGCGGCCCAGTGGGACCGTCAAAACCCCACTCTCTCACAAGGGATAAGTCGTTCGAGAAGATTGGCACTTCTGGTGCACAGTCCTTGGCGGTAATGCTGATGATGATAACGATGATGACGATGATGATGATGATGATGATGGTGACCGCGACGGCGATGGTGATGGTGATGGTGGTCTTCCGAATTTCGAGACTCACACAGAAACCGGATTCCTAAACTCTGCACACTGAACATTGATACCTGACTCTTCAAGACCTAAACCTCGTTACTCAACTTCCTATTCTGATTACTACAAAAACTCATGTTATTCTCGATAACGCGGACACTATGCTTGTAACTTTATCGTCACTCTTAGTTGATATCAGTCTTATCTTATGACTAGCACTACTGGAAAATGCTGTTTAATACTCCTTTTATTATTGTTACTACTCTTACAAATATTCTTACTGCTATCCTTAGTAGTAATAGTATGAATTAGACGTTCTTGATACTGTACTAGTAACCGACATCCGGAGAACCAGCCAAGCAGACCTCCAGCATACACGAAACCCCTATGCTACCAGTAAGCCCTTTAAGTTCACCTTGTTCTAACCATAAACGCGTTATTTTGAGTCTAAAACCTGATTGAGAAAGCTGGAACTTTGATTGAAACCTAAAGCAGCCGTATGTTAACACATAGCACTTCAGTTTATCTCGAAAGCCCCTCACCCTCCTGGTAGCCCGAGGTGGAACGGGCTCAGCTGTGGACTGGCATGTGGCATGGGTCGGCTTGGGGTTTCGGGCAGTGTACTCCTAGGATACCCAGTAACCTAAGAATAAAAAGGCCTCTCTTTTTGGTATTAGGTAACTTTATAAGGAACCTAGGACTACAAAAAGGGAATAAGGGTACTACTGGGCATCCTAGGTAATCTATGGCTTCGCAGAATTTTCGTGGGGGCTTTGATTTATGGCCTCGTGATCGGAGTTTATGAGGGCTTTGTCAAGACTTGCAAGGAGATTGCAAAGGCTACGGCGTTTTGCAGGTGATTTAGCATGGGTTGTCACTGTTGTCACAGAGAGCCAATACCCGTCAATCGACCAACGACTAATGTAGGAACCTGATTAAGAAGCCTTGGGTCTGTAATAGGTCCCTTATATGAATCCGAATATATTGGGGTTATAGGGCCAGGGTTGCTTAATCAGGTTCCTACATTACATAGGCCTTCTTGTTGTTCCTGAAGGTGGCTCTTTAGTGCAGCTGTCACTAAGGTTTAGGGTTTAGGGCCAAAGCCCCGGTGGACTCCGTATATGCGGATGCTACGCGATCAAGGAGGTTTGGGATCCTAAAGGCTCGGCTTTCCGAAAATTAGAGGTGCCTTATTTGGGGTTCCTTGTAAGAAGGATCCTACTATTTAGGGGACTATCTTGGGGTCCCCTAGTTTTCGGAAACTCCCATATCGATGCCAGTAGTCTCCACCCTTGCGCGGCTGCAGGTCGCCGCCCTGGTTCTCTAAATACATCACCCTTGTAGCGTATGAAGTACTCGGAGATCCCCATCGGCTACAGGACGTGGGCCGTGAGGGAGACGGCCAAAGACAATTCAGCCCCAAAGCTACCCAGAGCCACCAAAAAACCACTGAATTAAGGAATATACCTTAAAATCATATTAGGGATCCAAATATAATTTAAGGTATATTCAGTATATTCCTTAATTAAGGGGTTTTGGAGGCTCTGGGTAGTGCCCGGCCTTGCGCGGTAGCTGGCAGCTTCGTCATTTGTGGCTCTTTGACCAGTACGACGTGGGTGGTTGTCAAAATTAGGGTTCCTTTTTGGGTCCTTATTATAGTACGGCACCTAATTTTAGGGTACCCAAAAAGGGGCCATAATTTTGACAACCACCCACGTGGAGGCAAGGACATAAACCGTAGCCGAATCCCTGAGGCTGAAGACCTAACTACATCTGAAGCGTCGAAGCCCTCAAGAAGCTGTAAACCTCCCAGTAAGCCCCAAGGAGCCACCCCTAAACCCTAAATCCTAAACCCCTAAACCCTACAGTAGAAGCCAGAAAGTTGGAATATCATTCTCGTAACCCCTTTAAGGTAAATTATAGGGGATCCTACCATTAATCCACATTCCAACTTTCTGGAGTTCCCTCTAAACCCTGAAGAGCGAAAAAAGGGGGCTAAGAGATCCCTGGCCTTGCAGTGGGCGCATAAACAAAACCACTTCTGGAAATTGGCTGAAACAAACAACTGCAAGATGAAAACTCCTATTGATGAACAATTTCTGTTATATCTATTCATGGATGTATTATTTATTAGTCTATGTATTATTATAGAGGATCATTATATATTTAATTGCAATCCTAAACCTCAAGGAGGCATCATCGGGCCTTCCTCGGGCCGGGCTTCGCCGGCGAGAACGGCGGTGGCGCCGGGGGCAGCGACGTCGCAGCACCGAGGCCCGCAACGGGCTGGGCAGAGTTTTTGTTGAGGGGGCTTAGGGTTTGGGGCTTACGGGGTTTAGGGTATCGGGGTTCAAAGACCTTTACAAGGTGTGGTTTTGGGTGAATTGATATAAGTCTTTGACATGTCGTTCAGAGTTCTGTTAGGTAAGGGTCCGCTGGTTCTGCAAGGGTTTCGCTTTTGCTGGCCACCGAAGCTGAAGCTCAACAGCCGACTATTAATTTGTTCATAACGCAGACCTCGTACTAATACACCCCCCACCTTAAAGGGTAGTCTAGTGGGGATCCCAATATTGAAGCCGATGCAAGAGGGAGTTGAGCAATCGGGGGTTTACATGAAAACCCCTCAGCCTTAAGCCCTGTGGGCCAAAACCAGCGGGGTTTTAGGGCTTGGGCTTTGTGGTGGGGACCCGGACCACCCTGCACAAAGCGCTTTAGGGTATAGGGTTTACGGTTGAGGGATCTAGGGTTTAGGGTTTAGGGGTTTAGGGTTTAGGTTTAGGGTTTAGGTTTAGGGTTTAGGGATTTAGGGGTTTGGGGGTTTAGGGATTTAGGGGTTTAGGGTTTAGGGGTGAACCCCCAAGCTGCACCCAGATCCTGCCACCTTAGCCTAAATATCTAGAATCCGATAGCACCCGACGTTGGGTCTAAACACCAAACCTCTACGGTTTCGGGGTCAGGATTAGGGGTTTAGGCGTTTGGGATGTAAGGGGTTTCGCGGTTTCAATCGATAACAGTGGAACATTATACCATGTCATAACGGTAGTAATATTCATAATAAGCATAAGTATTAGAAGAAGAATACTAACTTCTGATATCTTGTCGAATTCTTCGACTGTATTCACTGCGTGGGCAAGATCGTTCCTAATGATCACACGCAAATCGGCAGCGACCTCCTCTTCCTCGGAGCTGGTGATTTCAAGCTGCCCATGTCCAAACGTTTGCAGTCGAATACCGTCACGATGGCGTGCAATGTTGCGCACGAAGTTTTGAGAGAACTCAGGACCGCACCGTACCATGCAAAAGCCACTGGCGTGTCATCTTGTGCGATTACTGGATTGTCCTGATGAACTTCCACAACGTCTTCAAGTTGTCCAGCGGTTCCTGTTCCATGATGTGTCGACACAGCAGCTGCAGTACAGATCCAAACAGGTGCTGGGAGCCTGTACATTGTATGAGACCTCCCCACAAGTGGCGGCTGGAAACACGATTCTCGCGCAGTCACCGGGGGAATGGGCCGCTTTCACGATCCTAATCCCCAAGCCCAAGTCCCAAATCCTCAAAACCCCAAATCTCTAAACCCGAAACCCGAAATCCAATCCCAAAATTCCTAAACTAAACTGGGAATCTCCCACAATCCCACCTCCCAAAGTCCTGGTAGGTACCCTTCTAATAATCCCTTCTGGGACCCTTTTACAGGAACCCTCTTTATGGAACCTCTGAAATCCCCGAAGCTCTAAGCGCCCCTCGCCTTCTCTGTCAGCTCCAAGGGGAGCTCTGCGGCTGACCATTCCGGGCCCGCCTAAGTTCAGCTAGGATACCCAGTAACCTAAGAATAAAAAGGCCTCTCTTTTTGGTATTGGGTAACTTTATAAGGAACCTAGGACTACAAAAAGGGAATAAGGGTACTACTGGGCATCCTAGTCAGGGTTCCGATAGCCTTCAAGGGTTCCCGTAGAGGAGCCCTTAAAGGAACCCGTTAAGGAACCCCTACAGGAACCCTTAAAGGAACCCTTTAAGGAACCCTTTAAGGAACCCTTAAAGGAACCCTTAAAGGAACCCTTTAAGGAACCCTTAAAGGAACCCTTTAAGGAACCCTTTAAGGAACCCTTAAAGGAACCCCTACAGAAACCCTTAAAGGAACCCTTTGAGGAACCCTTAAAGGAGCTAAGGAACCTTTAAGGGTTCCTTTCCGGGTGTCTGTCTTTCAGGGCTCCTTTGATGTAGCACGAGGGCAGGCGGCCTCTGCCTGAGAACCTCCCAAGCCTAAGACCCGGGAAGCTTTACAAAAATCAGGGTTTAGGGTTTATGGTTTAAGACCTTGAACCCTAAACCCTAATCCCTAAACCCTACACCCCAAAACTCTAAAAACGCTAAAACCCCTAGAACCCCCCAAATCCCAAAGCCGCAACCCCAGCCGACTCACCCAAACAACTACAGGGAACTTCTACGGTTGATGATATAAATCCTGCATTACCTTAAGGACCCTCAACTATGGGAATTATGGTATATTCCTTACTTGGAGGATCATGGGACTTAGTAAGTATGGTTATAAGTACCCTAAGTGGAGTTATATGTAATTATAAGTACAGTTACCTTAATTGTAACCCTCGTTACTAAGTCCCATGATCCTTTAAGTATTATGGGTCATGCAGGATTTATATCATCATCCCTAAACCCTAAACCCCCTATAGATCCCTTAAAGGAATCCCTTAAAGGTGCCCTTATAGATGCCTTTGATCCTTTAAGTAGACCCTAAACCCTAAACCCTGTAGATCCCATTAAGGAACCCTCTAGATCCCTTTAAGGAGCCCTTTAAGGAGCCCTAGTTACTATTATGGGTCATGCAGGATTTATATCATCAACCCTAGGACTCCTGGGACCCCGAGCTCCTCGACCCTGCCTCCGAAACCGCAATCCCCGAGCCTCAAGCGGAAAAAAAAAAAAAAAACGCATAGAACCTGGGGTTTAGGGTTAGGGGTTGGATTTAGGGGTTAAGGTCTAGGATTTAGGGTTTAGGGTTGAAGGTTGAGGGTTTAACTTTGTAAGACAACTCCCTCTTAACCTCCCCAGAACCAGGCTCCCGGGACGCCGGGCTCCGCCCACTTCTAAGAAAGCCATGTCAAGGGTACCTCGTCGGCGGGAGACATGGCCCCTTAGGGTTTAGGGTTTAGGGTTTAGGATTTCGGAAGGATTTAGGGTTTAGGGCTTAGGGCTTAGGGGACTTTTTCGTAAGGGTCCTGTCAGGATTTCTATGTAGGTTGACTGCAAAGCTTATGGGTTTTGGTTGGGGGTTCCGGGTTGAGTCGTTTTAGCTCAGGCTTTATGCCTTAGAGTTTCGGGTTTAGGGCTTGGTGGTCGGAAGTATAAAGAGTAAGGCTTGGGTATTTGGGGCTGGGGAGTACGATTTAGGGCTGAGGGATTTGACTAGGTTTTTGGAGACCTCAGACCCGATAAAATAGCAGTGAAGGGAAGAATATCAAGTTTGTTGAACAATTCACTAAACCAGTTGCTAAGCTCTCAATCCCGTATAAAAGCCCCGAAACGAAGCCCTGCACAAAGCCTGCGCCCTAAGCCTGGAACCCCAAAAGTCAAACTCCGCAAACCCTACATCGTCAACGGAAAGATTGCAACATCCTTTGAATACTCCGTTATTTCTCACAACAACAAGCCCTGTTGGAGTCTGTGGGATCCCCAAGACACAGAATAAAACCTGTGAAACTACTCTCAAAACCTATAAAACCTGCAGAGTCTGGCTGTGGCCCCCACTGCCCCGGTGGCGATGGTGTGGCGATTCCGAGCCGCCTGTAAGGGGGCATAAAGGTGTCCGTTGTATGTACATAAAACTCTTACGAACCCCGTGGAGCCCCTACAGCCCTTGTAGACATCGCTAAATCTCCTGGGCCTTCGCGTGCATTGTCGGGGCCTTACGTCCTCATTACAAGCAGGTTTGAGGGTACACTATGACAGCATGGTCTAGGGTTTCCGGGTTTAGGGTTCAGGGAGTTGTATAGGAACTACAAAAGACCGTATCACTACTTATTCAGATTGCGAAACCTTAACCGTCTGCATGGCACTCAAGGCTGACTATGACGATCCTGGGCTCTCAACACGCACTCGAAACTGAAACACCGTCTCGGTTTCTTTGTGTGTGCGCGTGCCGCTGTACCAAGGCAATCAGAATTCTGCCGGAGATGCGGTCGACAAGGGCTGTAGGGTTCGACAGGCTTTGATTGTGGAGTTTCAGTTTGCGGTGCTGATTCCTGCCATGATGCATTAATGGCATTTAAACGAGCGGGACATTGCGACATGCAGGGGTTGAGATGTTCTGCAAGGTCGCGGTGGTGGTCGCGGTCTTAACCTGCCCCTAAAGAGACCTATGTACACGCACCGATCACCTAAAAGGAACCCAACCAGGAAACTCCTTCTAAACCCGTTCCAAAACCTTCCATGAACGTATAATGAAGAATCCAAGCTTTAAAACCCTACTTGACATGAAGCGCCTCCGTCGCACACCGAGTCGAACCCCTCCGCACAGACCTTGGCAGAAGTGCTTCGTCCGAGTTCGGCTGTAGCGCTTTGTAATGTTTGTAATGTAGGAGCCTTAACTAACTAATCATTACCCGTACTAGTTTGGCGCCTCTTTCTGTCTGATAGCTATAGTACTGCTTGTAAAGGGGCTCTATGACTAGGATACCCAATAACCTAAGAATAAAAAGGCCTCTCCTTCTGGTATTGGGTAACTTTATAAGGAACCTAGGACTACAAAGAGGGAATAAGGGTACTACTGGGCATCCTAGAAAAGAAGTCTGTCGGCAGGTTTGAGGGTGGTGGGCATCCAGGACGGGTGTTGGGGTTTGGGTTTACGGTCTAGGGGCTCTGGGTTTGAGGTTCACTCTGAATGCTCATGCAACTTGGACGAATAGTACATTCTGAGGCCGGTTTAGGGTTTAGGGCACTTTGAAGCTATGCGTCGATATGACCATATTTTGACTTCCTGAAACAGGACAAGGGACCTGTTGAGCCTGCATGGTGAATGACATTTTAAGGCGACGGGCACTGTGGTTCGTCAATGCCTGCTTAGCGGATCGGAGGAGCCTGTCTGTATGCTTACAAGCGAGTCATCGACAGATATGAGCTCGCATAAGCATAACTAAAACACTGAATAAGCCTACTTATTACTACGATCCATGAACCTTGAACATTGTGGCGGGCGGAGGGCATTGCGGTTTGGCTGCTTCTGCTGGGTTTTTGGGCTGAACAATAAACCGTCAACCCTACTATTACATATAGGGTTCCAGGGCATTGCGGGGACCCATGTTTGAAGGCTGACGGGAAGTGGTCAGCAGGTTATATGTAAGTCAAGTATGCTCTTGACAAGAACAATGTCAAGGAACCGGGGCCCTAAACCCCCTGATGCATTGGCAGTGCCTTAGCTACAGTGGAGCATGCGGTAGTGAATATAGGTCGGTTGGGGGTTTTTATAACGGCACTAACTATCTTTAAACCCTGAATCTTAAACCCTAGAAATGGAAAACCAAATCGAAACTTGGAACCTCAAACGCTCAATCGCTAAGCCGTCGCCCTGAACCCTTCTAAAACCCGTACAGATCCGTAAAAGGATCCCTGAAAGGATCTTTGACAGCAACCCCGAAAAAGGACCCCGTGAAGGAGCCCTTAAAAGCACCTGAAGGGGACCCTTGGAGGAACCCTGTCAGGATCCTTTCGCTGAAGGAACCCTTGAATAAACCCTGACAGGAATCTTGATAGGGCCCTCCGCAGATTTGGTTTTCAGGGTTTACGAATCCTTCCACAGAACCTTTATACATCCCTTTGTCGATCCCTGGTTGATCCCTTGTAGATCCCGCAAAGCATGCCTTACCTATGGCCTGAACCTGAAACCCTCTGGAACCCCCAGTTCAAGGAACCCCGAAACGAACCATGAATCGCAAACCCTGAAACCCTGTAGAACCCTTACAGGAACCGTTGAACAACCCTTAAAGGAACCCTTAAGAACCCCCACAGGAGCCTTTACACAATTTTAAATCTGAGCGGGAGACCCACCATCTCGGGGCACTCCTTCGACGCTCATCGTCGCCGGTGTCACCTCAGTAGAAAGTTTCAGGTCTTAAAGTCTGGGAAGAGGGTCCCAGTTTGGGGATTTGGGTTTGGGGGAGTTTAGGGTATTTCGGGACTCTGAGTTCAGGGTGTTGGTCTAGTGTCTAAGGCTTGCCTAGGGTTGAGGCGGAGGCTTCAGGGTTTGGAGGCTTTGGGTTTAGGGTTTAGGGGCTTGGGGTTTAGAGGTTTTGGATTTTGGGTTTAGGGGTTTGGGGTTTAGAGGTTTTGGATTTTGGGTTTAGGGGTTTGGGGTTTAAGGGTTTAGGGTTTGGGGGTTTTGGTTTAGGGCGTCGGGTTTGGAGTTGAGAGAGCGGGTGTGACTCAAACAGGGGG